GAGAGAGAGAGAGAGAGAGAGAGAGAGAGAGAGAGAGAGAGAGAGAGAGAGAGAGAGAGAGCTAGAGAGAGGTTGAGTGATACAAGATTGGTTTACTGCGTACCTGCTGCGCTGGAGATAACGCTAGAGAGAGAGAGAGAGAGAGAGAGAGAGAGAGAGAGAGAGAGAGAGAGAGAGTGGCTGCGACGCGCGCCGCGCAATCTCGCGGGACAGCGCGCCGCCATCGGCCAGCGCTGGCCCGACCGCCGTCGCCATCGCCGCGCGCGGCTTTTTCCAGCGCGGCGGCCGTTTTAGTGCCTGGCCGGGGCCGAACACCGAACAGGGCCGACCCCGGCCGAACGGGGCCGAACGAGGCCGAACACGGCCATAAGCAGCCGAACACGGCCAGTACCGCTCGCGGCTGTGCGGGGGGCCGACCGGCCGGGGGCCGCGGAAAGCACGGGCGTCGATGACATCGGGGGGGCGCGATGGTGGTGCCAGCGGGGACGTCAGGGACTGCATCGACGGTACGACACGGTCCGACGACAACGACGGTCATCGCGACGGCTTATTGGATTCGAGTGGGGGGACGATAACGGGGGGTACAGGGACCAGCGGTGCGGGGGTGTCTGGGGGTCGGGGACCAGTCGAAGATGCATGGGGACCGAAAGTTGCGTTGCAACTTATGCGGCCACTTATTTCAGGGGGGGTCGTCGAAGGCCGCGCGCCATTTCACGCAGTCGAAGTACTGCAAGGCTGGGGGGATGAGAGTTCTCGCGGAGCTCAGGAACAGCACAGACTACACATTCATGCCGTCCACTGCTCAGCGGGTGCAGAGGTGGATGGCGGACGAGGGGATACAGGACACGAGAGCGCCCGCGGGTGGCCAGCGACAGCGAATGGACGACGGAGAGAAGGACAAGATTTAGGACGCCCTCGATGAGGAGGAGAGCCGTGAGGGTGGGATCGGGAAGGGGGGGGTGGCAGACGAGGCAGACGAGGCAGTCGGACAGCCTGACCAGCCAGGGGAGGAGGTGGTGATGACGTCGAGAGGCGTCGGTTGAGTGGGTCCCGCTCCTAGGGCGTCGCGAGTTGAGTTGGAGCGCGCGAGGAGGGAGAAGAGGGAAGTGGGGGAGGCTGACGTCGAGGTGCGAGACACGGGCAGGGAGAAGAGGGCTCGGCAGACGACGATTGAGGAGATGTACGACAAGGAGAAGTTGGCCGAGTTCACAGACGCATGGCTGCAGTGGATCTACGCGAAGGGATTGCCATTCAACGCCTTCCGTGGTCCGGAGTTCCAGAGGGTGTGGCACGTGGCAGAGAGAGTGCCTCGTACTATCCAGTTCCGGTTTCCCTCCTACAGGGTTACAGCGGGCGCCGGGATCCCTTCGCAGAGGGCGAAGGTGGCGACGATGGTGAGCGAGGTGCGCGCCGTTTTCCGGCACACCAGTGCCACCATCCTCTTCGACGAGAGGAAGTCGCGCAGCGGCAAGCCGCTTGTGAACTTCCTCGCCGGGGACACCAATGACGCCTTGCTATACGCCACCGTCGCACGTGACGGGTCGGTCCGAGATACAGCGGACATCGTGTACCGTAGGTGGCGGGTCATCATCTTGTCCTTTCCTGCAAAGGACGTGATCGACTTCTGCACAGACTCCGCCAGTAACTATACGGCGGTAGTGCGCAGATTCACCACGGACCCCGAGCCCGACATTAGGAGGATCACTTGGCTCCCCTGCTCCACCCATGTCTGCAACTTGATGTTGTCAGATATCGGGATGCGAGTGGGGTGGGTCAAGGACACCATCATCCGCGCTCGAGCGCTTGTGCGATTTATTAAATCGCACGGCGCCTACGTGGCACCCTCGGCCGCGGCCGCAGGATCCGAGTCCGCGGCCCGGGTCCTAGGCCGTGGGTCCGCGGCCTAGGCCGCGCGGCCGAGTTTGCGCGCAGGTGGGCGTGCGCCCTTGAGATCCGAGCGCGCGCGCGGCCTGCGCACGTCGGCCGCTGTCGGCCTGTGCAAAAAAAAATAAAAAAAATAAAAATTTGGGGGGGGGGCGATTTTTGATATCT